CCTACCCTGACAGTGCTGGTAGTGAATGGGAGCAAAGCAGAAACCACAAATCTTTAAAGGTAAATTGAACAAGTAAACTATGTCATATTTTATAAATTCTGGGGCAGCCAAAATGTTCGAAGTTCTCTTATAACAAAACTTGGAATAGATCAATGAAGCATTTATACATGACACACTACGTAGAAATAGCTGCTGCTGATTTTCAGAATATGGATGGATGGATGGATGGATGGATAAACAGAGACAGATAAACCGAAAGACAGATTGACATATATTAGATGTACATGCAAACACATATATATATACACACAACACACACGATATATAAATTTCAGGATACAGGCTGACATATCAGTATATGTCAGTGGTTCTTTCTACACACATACATGCCTATGAAACTCTGTACTGTTAGATAAGATCACCAAGCTCTTTGAGTCACCTCTCTCTTTCAAATGGATTAAAAACATCAACAACAAAAACAACCCCAAATGATCTTTAAAAAGTGATCATAAGCTTACATATATTGAATACACCATGACAATGGAACACCTTATTTACTAGTCCCAAAGGAATGTTATGAAAAAAATCCCACAGATAAATACAAATTCCTGTAAACAACAATATTTCTCCTTCAAATAGTTTTAAAAACTTCCACAATATATTTGGGACATCTTCTCTGCATACGAATGGTAGATTTCATCAAACAAAATTTAAAGTACTGTATTTGACCTACAACATATGGAATCTAGGTATAATTTAGACCATGCTATAGACATATACTAAGTTCCTTCTGAAAATCAAATTCCTTAAAAAAGCAGTTAAAGTGAATCTCAAATGCATAGTTATTTTACTCAGTATAAATTCTACTGAGATTGACAGTTCTATTCTAAAGCAATTCATTCTCTTTATCTGATTTAGCAATGTTTTTCCTACTCTAGAAAACAGATAAAACAACAGTCACATAGTGAATCAGTGATATTCTTCCTCGAAAGCAGAAAGAACCTGGCACATAGGATAGTGTTTTTTTTTAAGTTGTCAAATGGAAAAACAACAAAAAAAAAAAAATTGGGAGAATAGTCTTTATTCAAATACTTCTAGTACAACCAAAACGTCCTCCCCGCCAAAAACCCCCACCAATGTTACACTTCTTTAAAAAAAAAAAAAAGACTCAAAGGAATCTCTTCAGTGTTTCTAGTTTTTCTTCACTGCAGCCTCAGAATTAACTAAAAATATAAAGTATTTTTAATAGTCTTTTCATAAAGGATGATTCTTTAGGTTAAAATTCCAACTATCTTGTTGTACTTAAAATGCTAGATATGCTTTCATCAAAAAAAAAAACAATAAAATCAGCTTAAAATAAATTTATTGTACAATACAAAAAGTAGGCATACTGGAAAATAAAACGTACATTAATATACAAAGCAAATAAAAGAAAGCTAAATAACACAAATGTTTTAATCCAAACACTAAGATAAAATGCACAACATTTATGCTAAAAATAAAAGTATTTCAGAAAGGATATGCATTTCAAATGAAATGTTAATGATGGGAACAAAAGATAAACAAATATGCTAACTTCTAAATGCTTGAATATCAAGAATCAGTAATGGCATAAAACATTAAATCCAACAATGCTGGGTACTTTTCAAGAACTTCATTTGAAAAGATATTTAAAATACTGAAAGAATCAAAATAATGTCTTTAAATCTGGCAAAGATTTTCCTTTTTTTTTTAAAGTTTGGAGGCCTATTCACAATGCTTTCCTTCTTCCATTTACACCTTCCTACAAAAATTTCTGGCTACTCATTCTTAACAAAACTCTATAAACACAGTAGCCTAGATAAACCTACTTCATTGGTAAGTAGGCATTTAAGCCTTATCAACATAGTAAGTTCACAAATTAATAACATAATTTTGAAACCTACACAAATATGGATATAATATGAAATACTAAAATTTCATTTTATAAAGTAAAATCTACCTCCAAATAAAATAGTAAGATGTAAAAATTAGGTCATAGGAAAAAAAAGCCTTTTTTGCGAACTCTCAGTTAAGACATTCAGTTCCCTGAACCACAAAGGGCTCTGTGAAACTAATACAAATAACAGGGTGTGAAGGTATGGCAGAGGTGAGGGCTTCGGACACACCGCTCTCCTGTACATGGCCAAGCCAGGAGCATCCAGCTAGGATTTGCATCTGTTCATTAGAGGAACATTCAGGTAGTCATAAAATCCTTGGTAATCTCCCCTAAAACTTAACATACAATTATTTAAATATATGTTTAATACTTCAATTACACCCCAAAGGCTTTTGACCGACAACTTTGGGAGGGAACTTCTTTTCCTAATTTCATAGTTCCCAAACTCAAAATATCATCTAATCAAGATTTTCTATATCTGTATTTGCACTAGCAGTTAAATCATCCAGTAAAATCTTTTTTGCTACACGATAATTACTTTTACAGACTTTACCCTACCACATGTATGCCATGATGCTATAAGAAACTATCAAGCCCTCCTCTTTGACCTCACTCCTGTCCCTCCCAAGTCCTGAAGCTGTGGGGAACTGTGGGGAAAACCAAAGAGGTATACGGAGGAAGGAAGAAGTGTGAATAGGTCCTACAGAATTTTCCAATTACTTTGCCAAGACAGACTTTAAACATTGTGAATTATTTGAAATTAGGTTGTGTAGAACCTACAGTCCTTTTAAAAACAAGTTTTGATTCTCAATATTGCATTTTTATAATCGAACAAAAGGATTCAGATCTAACAGATATCTTCGAAGCATACTTACTACCTTCAGACTGAATTCATTTCCTAAGTACTCTAAGAGTTCAAATAGAACAAACTTTATGAGGCGTTATTATAATTTATCATAAAAGATTCATTAGCATTTGTCAAATTATTATGATAATAAAATTATTAAAGGCTAAAAATCAAGATTCACCATTCATACTTAAATATAACAGGAAAAATTATGTGGATATTACGAAAATAAAATTGTTCAGGTAAACACTTCACTTGAAGACACTCACTGTTGCTTCTTCTGAGTAACCATTATAGCTTTTTAACAGTGAAACATGTCATTATCTTACATCTGAAATTCTTTGGCCGGAATGTTTTAATAACATAAGACACTCCTGTACATGACAATTCTGACAGAACAGAGGAGTTGCAAAGTGAAAAAGCAAAAACAGGACTTATATTTTAAAGTGTTTGATAACATTTTCAGTGAATTTTTTAAAATTTAAAACAAACAAGAAAATGCCAATCTATCACTAAAAATGGCATAAAATGTTAATTTAAGCTAATTTTATAATCTACTGCTCTATTAAATAATTTAGAATTCATTACTTTGCCTTTTTAGGTTTATATTTAGCAGAGAAATACTTTCTATTGCTACTACAGATATGTCAGTTTTAAAACTGGAAAAGAAAAAAACAAAATGTGGTGAAATTTATGAGTTCAATGTGTGGGTTTCAGAACTAAGAAATCACAAATTCCTGTTACTATTTTAAATTGGGACTATCAGACTACTATATAATTAAATTTTTAACTACATCAAGAAAAATTTAAAGGAAATTTTTCCTTTCTTCATTTTTAAAAAATAAAGCAAATTTGCCTTATTTACTTATAAATACTTTTTAAAAGACTGACAAATTCATTTTTTAATCTATTAACTTTATACAAAGATTAAAAGAAAAAGCTCTATGGCTCCATCACCCAAGGTTGAGAACACAAAAAACTCAAATAAATATAGTATGCAAAAAACTAAAGATGTTTGAAAGGTTAAATGAAGAACATTCTGAAACTAGAACCCATTTCTTTAGCTTTTCTCTCCCAGACTTTCCATTCTATACACTACAGTTGTAGAGATGTCCTCATTTGACTCAGGTGACACTTTTTTCCATACTGTCTCTTTTAAAGCAAGTTCTTGTTGGAGACTTTCATAGTCCAATGGTCCAAAGGAATGCTAGTTGTTCAAGCAACATACATAATTTATTAGTGCACTTGAGTGAAGAAAGGTCCAAGCTATAAAACGGTATTTTTCAATGAATGTTATTAAAGTCTGTTAACATTTTCACCCACCACCATCTGATGTTTTGCTCCATGTTACTTGTGTTGACTCCCATGGAAGTTTCTATTTTGTTGGCTTTGCATAATTCTCATACATTATTAGAAGTTACTTTGATTGGAACGATAGGAAAATTTACTTAGTACCTATTAAAAATATTTTCTACTTTTAACTGCTTTATACATATTAGCTTCAAGTCTAATTAGGTAAGTTTACTCTCAACATTTTCCACATGGGATGCAAAGGAATTTAAATTCAAAACAAGTCCCTTAGTCCAGTGAACAATGAAGACAAAAAAAATCTTGTTCCTGAAATTTAAGTCCTGACTCCTTAAAGTATATATATGTATGTGCAAAAGCATGAAGTCAAACATACTGATAATAAACAAATATTACTTTAAAATAACAGAATCAGGAATATTGCATTAAACATTTTTTATAGAAAAATATTTCATCTACAGTGGCCTATAAAACATTATAAAGCTTTGTAAGGTCTCTCACTAATACTAAAATCCCTTTCCCATCTACAAATCCATCCACATCAGAATAAACTACAATTTAAGACAATAGCTGACAAATATAAAGAGTAAAAACAGGCTTTTTCTTTATAGCATGTAGCACTTTCCAAGGTGTCTTCTTTTAATAGAATCAACTCTTAAAAATATTGCTTAAAATAGCCGAAAAATGGGGGAAGGAAGGAACCCCTACTCCTAGGCTAACCAGTTTCAATTTAAATAAAACAGCCATATTTAATATCTATGTACTACTGGTCCAGGATGAAAATGTCAACAATTTCTTTACACTCATTTGATATTAGTAAAGACATAAGGCCACTAACAATTAAACCATGTTTTATTTAAACTGGTGAACATTATTTTCTCTTTCTTAAAAAAATTATATAATAATCTAAATAAGAATTTTGCTTACCCTTTGATCACCACCTTCTCTTCGAGGATCAAGTTTTTTTGCAAAGTGTCGCAAATTATCATAGTTATGGAAATTACACAGAGAAACAAGATCCTGTAAATAAATAGAACAGGTATAAGAAATTGGCTAGTCACTGGCTATTGTCTTTTCATATTCTAACACATTACACTAATGCTGTCAAATTAATTACTACGTCATGTAAAACACCACTGCATGTTAACAAAGCAGCATGATGCATCAAGAGGAGGGCTGAAATCAGAATAAGACATGGATACAAATTTTGAAAACACTGCTTACTAGCATGACTCTAGAGCTCAGCCACTCAAGTTGTTTAATTTTCATTTTCTATAAAATGGGCATTATAGTAACAGTCCACATGAAAGAATTCTTGTATGAAATAACTATATAGTATCACAAAAACAAAGAAATATTCTGGTTACAAACTATTATAGTCTTTAAGGAATCCAATGTCATTCTCTGGCTTTTGTAAAACATAAGAAAATGAAAAATAAATTGGAATTTTAATTGAGAAAGTCTGCAGGAAAAATTACGGTAGTGAATATTCTAGGAAAGTAGTAAGTGTAAATAAAATCAGAAGACAGAATGTTAGCAAAACTTAGGTCACAACATAAAATACTGAACTAATTAATAGTAGTAATGCTTTTAAATTATAGTACTTATTTCCTAAAAAAACAAAAACAAACAACAATAACAAAAAAACAAACCCCAGACTTTCAAAGGTAGTTTAATGCATAAAGGTATTCAGTCATGCAGATTAAAGTTCATACTATAAACTATAATAATCTTCATATTTTTCTGAGCTTTTGGAAACTGAAAACAAATTATAACCATAATAATTAAAATATAAGCATAAAACAAATGTAATTTTCTGTGAGGATGACTATATGGGAGCTCTCTGGTAGTAGTAACTTAAAGCTCCTCTGTGAACACTTCCAAGGCTACCAAGTAACTGGCAGTCAGAGTGCCAACAATCAATAAACTAGGGAAGTAAGTAAAAAAGTAGAATTAACAGATGGCTCAACTTATATGATCATTATTCTCATTAAGAAAACATGCTTACATGACAGAAGTGAATTCCCTTAACACTATTGCCCATTTTGTCCAGAGGAGGAGACCAGCACATCATGCCCATGACATTGGGGACAACTAAAAGAATGCCCCCAGCAACTCCAGATTTGGCAGGAAGACCAACCTGAAAGTAATTTGAAAAAAGGATATTTGTGTTAACATTTTAAAATAAGAGAAGTTACGTCCAACAAGGGACCGGTTAAAAAATTATGGTATCTATTCAAACAGCAGAGTTCCAACATTAAAAATGTTGTAGGTAAGTATTTGTAAACATGTTTAAAATATAGTAAGTGAAAAGACAGTTATAAAACAGTTGGGATGTATTTAAATAAAGAAAAAATTTTGAAAGATACATTCTAAGGAATTAAAGGAGATTACATCTAAATGGAGGAGTAATGCATTTATTTTGACTATATTTTGACTTTTGACTATATTTTCTAATTGTTCTATAATAAACAGGTATTGCTTTTAAATATTAAAAGTTATTTTCAAAAAATATTTTATGACTAAAAACAATGAGAAATTATATCTTACTAAAAGATTCTCTGTGGTATACTGGCAGAGAAATTCTAAAGGATAGAGATAAGATGGTACTATTTCAAATTAAGCCTCTTTAAAACATTTAAGTTTACATTATATAAAACTTGACAATAATTATAGTAAAAGACAAAATTAATATCATCAGGACAGTGTTCATTAATGGCTTACTAATATTCAGACACTGAGTACCTCTCACCAGAAGCACTCTTGCACAAAACGAAGCAAAACAAAATAATCACCTGAATGGGACCTACCAGTTTACAGGTAATAGAAGGGAAAATGGAAGGGACATAATAAACAAAATCTAGACTCTGAGAAACTGTACAGGAAAAATAACCCAGTTTTTCCAACCAAAAATAAGAAGAAGAAAGAGGTGAAGGTGGAGACTAAAGATTAAAAAAAAAATAATTAAGAGACACAACCAAGCACAATGTATGGCCCTTATATGCAACCCAAGAGAAGCAAATTGTAAAATAATTTTTAAGATAATCCAGATAATCTGAACACTGACTAAATATTTTGATGTTATTAAAGATTAAAATTCTTTTTAGACTTTTACACATGATAACGGTGCTGTGGGTTTTTTAGAGTGTTTATCATTTAGAATTACATACTGAACGGTGAAAAGGGTATGGGAAATAGGTATAATATAGATGAAACAAGATTTGTCACATACTGGTAAATTTTTTAACATTTTTTCATTGAATTATAGTCATTTTACAATGTGTCAAATTCCAGTGTAGAGCACAATTTTTCAGTATACACGTACTGATAATTATTAAAGCTGAGTAATGGGTAACCTTAAATGCATCTATTTTTCTGTTTTAAAATTTTCAAAATAAAACAAATTTTAGGACATTATGACTTGACACAGGATGAAATAAGAAAAGTCTATGATATTTCACAAATGGCAAATGCACAACAGTACATTAACTTTAATATATTTTAAGTCCTTTAAAATACTTATGGCTGTGACCAAAGATGTTAAACATCACAGTTAAGCACTTTTTCTGAACTTAAAAGATTCCTGAGTTATGTAATCACCATAATGCTAAACATTAACAACTAAGAGTAAAGTCTGCATGCACTAGGCTTGTACACTGAAATGCCTTAAAAATAAAAGTGATGAGGTTCTATAAATTAAACTTCAAGTTCTTAAGAACATCTCAAAGACTGCTTAACTCTATTCCTTACGAATTCTGTAACAAATTAACTTTGAAAACAAGCCTGTCTCTCAAAAATTAATGTACAGCTTTAGAAGCAAAGTTCAAACTGCATTTTTAAAAGAGCTAGTCCAGACTAGTTTCCTGCCAGAGAAATTAAGATGAACCAATTACTTACATGGAAAGCAAACTGCCCTGAGAAATCATACATGCCACAGGAATGCATCAGACTGAGTGTATTTCGAACTGCTTCAGGGCTCAGTACTCTTTCACCAGTAATTGGGCAGAAACCACCATTAGCCAGTGTTGCAGCCATCACACTAGCTGATTCACAAGTTACTTCAATGGAGCACAGCTAAAAGGAAGAAAAAACTAAATTCTGAAAACTTAGGTTCACATTATTTTTAGTATTACATTTGACTTCTAAGATAATCTATTTTGTCTGGTACTTCATACAGAACTGAAATCTTTCTCCCAAAGGGATATTAATTAACTTGATGACATTACAATGATTTTTAATTTAAACAATGTTCTAGCTCCTTTAAGGCTTATCCTAATTTGCCCAGCCATTCAGTCTTTTTTGGGGGGGTGGGGGGGTGTAATTAGGTTGGTTTGTTTGTTTATTGGAGGTACTAAGGATTGAATCCAGGACTTTTGCACTCTACCACTGAGCTATACGCACCTCCCCTCCACCCCACCATCATTCAGTCTTTTAATGGCAGAAGTAGGATAGAAAGAGCCAGTTCCTAAGCACTAAGATTTGTAACTGCCTCATGTAATATTCAAATTTGCTTAAATATTAATGTTTCCTGTAGGATACACAAATATAATTATTTTTAACTTGATAGGGAAAAAAAAGCCATGATCTATTTTTAAGATAAAGCAACATACATCAGTATTATGACAGTTAGTATCTACACAAGAAATTGTGACTTTTAAGAATAAAACAAAAAAAAGACACCTTGCCTATAACAAAGCTCAGCATCCCCATACAGCAACATGCAAAGGACTATGGGAAAACAAATCTAAGCTAGTTCCACCCTGCATGCTCTGTGTGCCTAAACCAAAATATTACATTTTAAACCATTTATTAACATTCAAATACTTATTTGATATTGACTGTCAGTGCTGGATATAATGAAAAAAGTAATGTCCAGGTACAATGTAGGGTGAAATTTTTGCATTTAAATATAATCAAAATAACAGAAATAGTTTACCACACCAAACCTAAGTTTATCCATAAAACTAAAACAATAAATAAATGCTCTATTTTAATTTTCGTTAACAGTAACCAAAACTGAGGGGAATTTGGAAGAGAAAGAGAGGGTAGGAAGGGGTCAGAGGAAGAAAAGACTTCAGTTCTCAACTTACAATTTTCCTTACTCATATTTCAAGATCTATAAGAGGCACAAAGGGGTTTGGAAATAGCAATAAGGAAAACTAGTTAACTATAGTGAATTAGGAGCCACTGAAACTGAATAGGAGCCACTTTTTGACTCACTTTCACTTTTGCTATTTATATTAAAACCCCTTCCCTATTTCTTCAGAACTACAGAATCTACTTACTATACAGACCCATGTGGCAGACTTAGAGTAAATGTGATCTAATTATGAAAGGCTTTCTAACAGAAATGATTTAAATTCCAGTGACCATTTCCTAATTTATAATTTATAACGAAAATTTTGTTTGTCATAAGGTTATATACTTCCAATTTGACAAATCCCAATTTAAGAGTACTCTCCTGGTACCCTGATGGATGTTCAATGAGATGCAGCCATTCTCCAAAAGAGCAAGTAAGGCTTCCATGGCTGTCTCTTGATTTTTGCCCTGAAGTATAGAAATTTTGCAGATTAGTAGCACCTAAACTATAACAGCCAAAGTTAAATATGTATACCAAGGGGAAAAAAACCTTTAACATAGAAGAACTCCACTTGGCTAGGGAAAAAACAAAGGCTACTGGATAAAAAGTAAATCTGACACTATGTTTCACATAACACTTCATAGTTTCAAAGGAATTTCACACACATCTCATGTTATTGCCGATGCAATGCAGGAAGTTAGGTCAAGCATAGGCTACATAATGAAACCAGGGCTCAGTAAGTGAAACTAGGTTACATGGCTAAAATGCGGCCAGGTTAGACTTTGATTTTATATTGACTATGGATTCTCAATTCATAGTTCTTCACATTGGCAGGTGACAAACAGTTACCTGGACTTCCATCAAAATCTACTTCATTATCAACTTTCCTTACATATTCTTTAAGATTACTAGAAGGTTAAAATTAAAGAATCTTCAAAAGTAAAAACAGGTAAATGTAAGGTAAACCAGAAACAAACAATAATTAATTTATTACTATGTAGCTTCATATTACAGATTCATCAGAGGTACCAAAGGTATTAAATTGGTAAGAATGAATTGAACTGAAAATATGAGGGGGAGAGGGATGTCCAGGAAGGACATCTTAAACTGAGTTCAATACCATAGTAGATAAATATGCGAGTGGCCCTTCCCCCTATGAATATGAAGAGCTCCTCTAAATTGCTAGAAAATCCACTATGTGACACTGAAGGAACAAACTAAACAAACTGAGAAACTGCTGCTTTAAAATGATGAATATAAACTTTCTGATAAAGAAACAAATAACTCCTCCAAACAAAACTTAAAAACTAAGAGAACAGCTCAGTTTATAATAAAGAGAAGCCAACTGCTGGAGCTGTACATTATTTTTCACACTTCCTAAATATAATGTTTTTACAGAAAAACACATTTCCCTGTTACATTCTGAGACGTACTCTTTTTTGGAGATATAGACATGAGATTACCTTTCACGAGGATTTTTGGAAAGTATTCAATGGGAAATGTATTTTTTCTTGGCCTAGAGCCAAGATTTCAGAGACATCTAAATTCTTTAAAATGTGACACACCCATTTATACACACAATTCATACAGTTAAAGTAAATTACCTGGAAATAGAAGTCTAATATACCAACCATGTCTGTGCCTTCTGGAAAACACTGAAAAATACATAAAGGCAATTAAAAACATAGGCACACAGAAAAAATATATATACATAAATAAAAGATACATGAAGAGTAAATTTAAAATGTACATAAAAGTTTTATTCTAATTGAGAACCAAACAGCACACAAAGGGTACAAACACGAAATCTAAGACAAACAATAAAGCAAAATTACATCACATATAGATTTCTAGATACTAGTTTAACTGACAATGATAAACTGATTCATAATTCATGAACCAAGTTACCAAGTTAAATTTTTAAAATCAAGTGTGATCAGTAGTCAAGCATCATACTTTTTGAAAAAATGGTCCAACTCTTGGGCAAAATTTACATTAATATAACTAGTTAAATATTTGAATACTACTAAATACAAACTGATTTAATGAGATTAACACTTTGATAGTATTAACTCAAGAGCATTTTGCAAAAACTTCTGAAATAGAAACAAAAATTTAAAAACCTTTTTTTCTTTTAAGTAATATCCTATTGCAAAATTTCGATCTCCACTTTCTCTTTCAGACTGAAACCTAGAAGGAAAAAAAAATTGCTCTATTTATTTGCTTTCTGTAAAAGCACAATTATTTTGTAGTTTAACTTGTATAGCAAAATGCAGTATAAAGAACACTGAAGGTTGCTGGGTTCCAGTCCCAGTTCCGTCAACAGGTTAGCTATGTAGCCTTGGGAAGGTCCTTTAAGTGACTATTTTTTCTTTAATTTTCTCAGCTACAATAGGACTGAAATGAACTAGGCCCTTTCTAGCCTTCATATTTAGTGAATAAAGAAGCTAACTTTTAAATTATCACATATTCTATTAAAATATACTTAAAAATTACAGAATCTCCTGGTTCCCCCAAAAGTACAATAGTCAATTCCATCTGAAGGAACTTATGGAAATTTCACTGAGAGAGGAATACCTGAAATGAGCCTTACAGCATTTGCTGCATTAACAAATTACTGGTGGAAGCCTAGGCGGTGGCAAATACCATGCAGTATGAACAGAGTTATAAAAGTATAAAAGACAAGAAAGACTTCACTGAAGAATGGCAAATATTCTGATGTACCTGGGAAATAGGTTCATGGAGAAATATCAAACCAACAAAGGAGACTGGGACCAAATTATCAAGACTGATAAATGCTAAAAAATGTAATGGCTCCTGATTGCTTACAAAATGAAAGCTTGAAGGTTTTCAAATAAGTTACCTTATGAGATCTGTATTTCAGAAGGATAACTCTGACATCAGTTTGTGAAAGGGGAAAAAGAAAGGATGAATGGTATTATTAGGAGACTACTGTTAATGAGAGCCACAGGAAGCCTTAACTTAGGCAGTGATGATAGGAATGGAAGGAGAGGTATGCTCAAACATGACAGCAGATGAGCAAGTCTCCTGACCTAACGGGAAAGAGAAACAGGGTGAAGTCTGGTAGAAAGCCTAGATTTCTAACATGATCTACAAAAAGGATGGCAGTATCAACTGACTTGGGATCCCGAGAACAAAGAGCACTTTGCAGTGGAAGAGAATGAGTTCTGACATAAACAGATTTAATTTGTGGTACATTTGAGAACTCAGCCTACAGGTGTTCAGACAGCTGCTGCTAAAAGAACTGTGTGACACTCTTTATTACCGATTATGGGTGGACAGCTCCTTCTAACTGCACATTTTAATATTTCTATGGCCAGAAAAATAATATTGGATACAGAAAAGTTCTTAAAAATCAAGCTGTCAACCTGCTATACTTTAAAAAAACACATCAAGGGGGGAGGGTGTAGCTCAAGTGGTAGAGCGTATGCTTAGCATGCACAAGGTCCTGGGTTCAATCCCAGTACCTCCTCTAAAAATAAACAGACCTAATTACCTCCCCCCACCAAAAAAAAAAAAAAAAAAAAAAAACCCACATCAATATAGTATAGATAAAGTTCTTGGAAATGAAGTTGTCAACCTGCTATACTTTTAAAAAACACATCAATATAGTATAGATAAAGGACTAACTACTCAACAATGATCACAGTGCCTAGCACATGGCTCTGTTCATCAAACGTTGTATCAAGTGTTTATTATCCACCAGATAACAGGAATACAGAAATGAACTGGAAGATAATTCTATCTAGGTCTTAAAAAAGTCAGTTTAATGGGGATGACAAGGCAAAAAGAGAGAATCACAGAGTAAGTTCAATAAAATATAATATAAAAGCACAGAAGAAAGACGAGATGAGATTCATGAATAAGATACTTAAGATGATGAATAAAAGTTGGTAAGGCAGAAAACATGAAATATGAAGATCACCTACTTAGTATTCATGCTAAAACTGTTTAAGTTTTATCTAATCACAAGGAAACAATCAGATCTAATCAAAATGGGGAATGTCTGCTACAGCCTATGAGTTTGATCCAGCCTGTTTTTATAAATAAAAATTTTTGGAATATAGCTTCATATTGTTCATCATTTGCTTTCCTACTAAAACAGTAGAGCAAGTAGTTACAACAGAGACCATATGGCCCACAAGTACAAAATATTTACTATCTGGTCCTTCACAGAAAAAGTTGCTTAATTCCTGTTCTATAAAACAACTGATTGACACTTTCAAAAAAAGCCATTTAATAACATTTTAAAAAGCAAGGGTCTAGGGTAGGCGAACTATTTTACTTTAAAAAGGCAAAACGGTCATAACAAATCTTATGCATGAACATTGATTTCTTCCTGAAAAAAATCTAAAAGGCCACAAAAGGCATTTACAAAGCTGAGAACATTTATATATTGATAACTATCATGATATTTAAAAATTCATGTTAATGTTGTTAGTAAGTGTATTGCTGGTATTGTGGTTATAAAGGAAAATGTCCTTATTTCTAGGATACACACACTAAGGATGAAGTGTCAAATGAGGTCTTCAAATTAATTTCAAACAGTTTTGAAAAAACCCACCCCACGTACATCTATATTTACATATATGTACATGTATGTGTATATATAGTGAGACTTCTTTATCTGTCCATATAAAGAGAGACAGGCTGAGAAAAAGCAAATGAGATACAATATTCATCAGAAGATAAAGTGAAAGATACCCAGAATTTCATCATTTATTCTTTGACCTCTTCTGTGGACTTGCAAATTTGAAAATAAAAAATTGGGGTAAAAATCAAGTTAGCTAGGCACAGAGAGATTATAAGAGATAAGACAGGTATTATAGGCAAAGAAAAAACTGAGTAAGTGCAGGTAATTTGAGTTAAACTTGGAGTCCCATCTAATTCTATGCTTTCTCACAGAAAGTTTATCAAAACTAGTTAAAGCATTTTAAGTGTTCTCCCTCAGGTAATTTAGAAATCATACATTTCCCTCTAATGACTAAATTCGAAGTAATTACTTATTTACTGAAGTATATATACAAGGAGTCACAAAACAGTATTTAAAATAAAATTCCATAATATAGACTGTAAAAATTAACTTCAAGAGGTATGATTCATTACAAAATTCTAAATCAAAAATCAAACTCACGTTGCATTACTGAATCCAACATATTCATTACCAGCCATCTTATTCAAAAACTGCATTACCTATAATCCAAAGTTATAAAGTATTAGTAATCAAAATACAAATATAAAAAGAATGTAGCATGAAAACTGAATTCTATATTGCACTTACATAGTCAAATTTTTCAGCATTATTCACTCCTTGCTGCAAAGAAATGAGACATAAATATGTTAATATAGGCCCCACCTAGTTAAGTTTTAAGTGAATATAATATCAAAACTTCAAACTGCTAACATTATAATTAATATACTGTGCATTAGTACTTTTAAATCTAGGAATACTTCTAATTTAATATTTACATAAGCTTTTTAACATGTGCTTTCATTAACACCCATATGTTGAGAATGGATCTGAATTACAAAGGGAATGCTTTATTTTAAGTATAACTTTTCCCAACCCAAAGTTACAGAATTTTAAATACAAGTTTCCAAATCCCCTTATCTTTCATAACACCACATAATCTGCTAGAATGTATGCTATTTAATTTCACATTAAAAAGAACTTAAAATAAAGTTTTACCCTTAGAAAAGAATTAAGTACAAATAAATTATGGTTTTCAATTAAGAACAATCTAGTTATATTTTAAAAATAACCTTAAACCAGTATTAGAGTTAGAAAAAGAGTTACATTGCAAAACTAATTTTTTGTATTCTAGTATATGTAAACATTTTGGATGTATTTTACTATTGTAGAGAAAGCTCTACCTTTAATATCTCACTTGTTTAAAAATACTTGAACTAAAAATATATTTCACAGTCTCTAAAAAAAATTAGCTACATTTTGCTATTATGCCAATTAAGCCAATTCAGAGTATGGAAGATGTATTGTTTCATCACTTCTATTTCTCACATGTTAGCTACTGCAAATGTCAATAGGAAAAACCTATGTAACGTAGATCAGTTCAAGTAGCCAAATGGTTTCATTTTACCTCGGCGAAGTTTACAAAGCAGTAAGTTGTAGATCTGAAATCAAACGTATTAATTGGTGATATGCACCCAAAAGAAACAATACATCTCTACTTTTTACAACAGGTTTAAAATAAAAGTAATTTGACAACTACTAAAGCGAAATTTTTAAACTTTACCCTCAAAAAACCCAAAACATTACACTTTAAAATTGTATTATGGGGGGAAAACCTGTACCAGAGTATTATTTAAATAAAGCCAGATTCAGTCTCCACTTTACAAGTGGATTAGCAAGTAGCTGATAATCTGTGAAACCTTTCAAATCAACTTATTTGAGAAAGAATGTGCAATCACATATACAATCAATAGCTGGAAAGAACACCACACTATTTCATCAAAATCAGGCACTAACGAAGTTTAAACAAGATAAGGATAATTTAGCTACAGCCATATTGTAATGACTACCTATGTATTTCTCTAAAGCGTCCTTTGACATATTCTAAATTTTCTTTCTTTATAATACACCAGAAATCAAAATGTAGAAATGTAACTCCAAAGCTGTTCAATGAAAAATAATTAAAAGAAGAAATTACCAACTTCATTGAACTGTTGCAGTTGTCAAAATATTCCATAGATCCTAATGCTGTAAAATATGTAACAACATTTAAACCACAAAAACCTTTGCAACCTTTGAGAAAGCACAAAAAAAAAAAAAAAAACAAAAAAAACAACTCTTTTGGAAAAGGATGTCAGCATTTGCATTGGGATGTCACATGGATAATTACTGGTTATACAATTAATCAATGTAAAAATAAACAAGTTACATTGAACTTTCATTCTCTGACTTGTGCCTATAAAACTAATACAAATTTTCTTTATTTAGCTGTCATGTTTAGCTTTAAAAAAACAAAAACTGTTTCAACTCTTGACTATGGTCACATTCTTAGTCTACTTTGTAGCTTACTAAATTAAACTATAATTAGGTTTTGCTTCTTTGCTGTTTTTAAGGAACAACTGATATTTATCAATGTCTACCATTATATAACATTTTGGGTAAACTACTTGAAATGTCCTAGGCAGGTTATGTGAACAGGCAAAATAAAATATCTGATGATTGTGTTGACTCAAGTCTCTCACCCCTAAACTTCCCCATTTAAATGTAAAAGCACTTGATTAATATTTCTTTTATTATCTACCTGGAAATAGCATTTAATTTAAGTTGACAAAATATATTTGCCTCTGTAGTCTCTTGGAAAATCTCTTCATGTACTCCACTGATATATGGGATCTAGTAATTGTTATGATGTCATGTAATTTTAATTTTGAAAAATTAACAGTATAAAGTTTATTTGCAAAGATGTTAGAAAAAAACACACATACACATACAAAATAACTTAGAATAACTCCCCCCCGCCACCAAAGCAAAAACACAACCTGTAAAAAAGAGAAAAAAATTGTCATTTCTCTAGTAGTAGGGTACAGAGAAGTAAAGGAACACATGTTATGAAAATTAAAGCCAGGAATGAGTTGATGGGGACTGGTTAAACTATTCAATTTATTTTGTATGTCTTTGAAATTTTTCACATAAAGTTAAAGGAAAAATGTTTATTTGCTAATAATTTTCCACAATAATTAAAAACTGCTCCTTTAGGGTATTTTCTTTCTCCTTTGAAATAGTCATTGATTTTTAATCAGTTCATGTATCAGTGGATATTTTCTATCATTAGAATGAGGAGTTTTACTCTCTTACTATCTTGAATTTTTACAGATTTACAAGTTGAGAAATATTGCTGACAGATGAGTAGATGGAAATAGGAAAGGTTTTGTTACAGCAATGTCGCTCAGTTCTTAAGACATTTATTTCATTATGTACAAGTCACACAGTAAAATAACATCCTCAAAAATTACATTTAGTACTCTTATTAACTAACAACTTGATTAGATCCTCTTTCCATTTTGCCGAAACCAAAAAACTGGAAATCCGGTATATGACTTGTTCCCAGTCATTAGTGATTATTACAATGATGCACATCCTTAATACCAATGACTACAATGTTTCAAAACTCTCTTTTGACTGTGCCCAAGAAGTTTTTATAACCTGAAGCAGCGCACCATAGTAAAATCTAGGACACAGTAAGTATGCCTTTCTTTTGGAAAATGGGAGGAAACCTAGACCAAAGGTGGGTTAAATTTTAATAACGGCACATATGGAAACAGATTTGAAAATTGACAGTCTTAAAACTCTCAATGCCCCACTATCTCTCGGAAAAAAATTTCCATGCCCAGGGATACGTTTATTACAGTTTTAAATAACTGCATAAGCATTATTAGATATGTTATTTTAATCTTTAAAAAGTTGGAGTAATTTATAGTAAGTACAGTAGGAAAACAAACCAAAAGTTGGACAAAATACATCTACTAAAGTTTCTAATCTATTTATCAAATGACTTTTAAAAAGCAAACCATGTGGTTTGTTTGAAAAGGTCAGTAACCAGACCTTGAGATTAGAAAATTATACAAATTAACTTTTCAATAAACATACCTATCAAATTAAAGAATTTACAATCCTTTGAGGAAAACTTTTATGAATAAAAATTTGATAAAGAGGCACTGAGTTTTAACACTGGCAATTAAAATAATTAATATAACTACACTGGAGTGGTTTTATAGCCTGTTTTTACAATATGCTTATGAACTAAATCACATATTATCTATCATAACACAGGTGAAAATATCACTATTAACAGGGACATGTGCCAATAAATTTAGTATTAAATGACTCATTTAAAGTCAATGCATTAGTCACAGTTATTTTGTAAGTAAATCACTGTATTCCATTCATAAAGTATGGTGTAGAAGCCAATTGAAAATTAGAGATCATAGAGGAAAGACATAGAAGAGGCAAAAAGAGGTAATTAAAAATGATTTTATAAAACATTTAGTCTAATCCCACCAAAGAAAATGCTTTAAAGCTAAATAATACATGGGATTAAAATAGATACTACAGTAAAAAAAGAAAAGTTCTAAATCTAGTATTTTCATAGACTAACCCTAGAAATAAAGTAACAGAAAAGTGAATTCTGTTGGCAATAAATTACTTGCCTCTTATTTAAAAAAAAACCTCATATGCATCAACTGATATAAACAGGAAGTAAACCAACATAATCCTTTCTTATGAATGTTACCAAGTTCAAGGCATCATCCATTGCTCTCCAGAGCCACAAATCACCTTAAAAATGTGGCTTATAAGAAAGTGTAACAGGTTATTGCTAACACGACCAAACTGAGCATTACATATATATTAACTAAATTTGTCTTGATTTTTATAGAGCATACTTATTTTTTTAAAAGAGAAAAAAAGGCTTCAATATTATAAACTCAAAAATACTTCTGATTAAAAAAAAAATCAAGCTTCTTCAAATGACAAAAGCCAGAAACTAATGACAAAAGCCAGAAACTACTACTAGAATCAAGAGACAAACATAGAAGACAATACAACTTACTCTTTACTTTTGAAAATAAAAAAGTAGAAGTGCGATAATTACAACGTTATTCTCATCTTCCCACCCTAACCCTCAAGTTATCACAAGATCCTAACTTTTAAACCGAAACTAGGTGAGGCTAAAAATCATGTAAAGATACTGCTATTTCATCCAGAATAACTGTGCTTTCAAAATTTATTTTCACTCTTTACTTTAAAGCAAACAACCAGATTATCATCATCGAATAAAACAAACTGCATCAAAAAGCATTCCTTTGAGTTTAGCAGCTACCACAGAGAAAAAGAGAGGAAGTATAGTACCTTGATGGTTTTTAAATCATGTGCATTTTAAGTACAAAATGACATTTGTTTTTATGAAGGTATTTACCTATATAGCTTTGTTTAAATTTTTAAATATTGGAGTATTCCTACAAGTTTAGTAGTTAAGAATTTATTGCAACAGGTTCCTTCTGTCCAAATCCTCCTTTTTTTCCACAATCTGCTAATCCTTTTGAACATTTGCTCTGCCTCTTCCCCCATTTCCTGAGGATCACCACCAATCCTACAAGGAAAAAATATCAATACTACAAAATTATGAAACAAAGAGTCTTACTAAAGACTCTACTAAAGTTGTGTGTCTGTGTGGGAGGGGGAATAACATGAGGAGGATGTTTTAATAGCACCATAATAAAGTCTTGAATTTTGAAAGAAAAAAAAATAGCCTTAAGGTCATCAATTAAAAGCTAAAACACAGAATTTACACCTAGTAGCCATGGTAAAATAACCACACTTCAGATACTCAAAGCACAAGCTCCTTGAGAAGAAGCCTAGTTCCTTACAGACAGCAAGCACTGACTAGTGCCCAAAGAATGACTACATATTCTCACTGAAAATTAAACTGACTTTTAAGGAAACAAATTGTTATCTTTCGCATAAGTTAAAATTAAGAAAATAATGACACAACATTGTAAAATGACTATAACTCAATAAAAAAAAGGTGAAAGAAAGAAAATAAAATTTCTGCTGATTGGACAATATAACTATGTTAGGTAAAGACAAAATGTTATCAAGAGAAACAGCAAATACCTACATAAAAATGGCAGAGTGAATTCTAATGAGCAGCAAACAGAAAATCGGGAGACCCAGATCAAGCCCAATTCTACTGCTACTGGAACGATCCATTCCATTTCCTCATTGCATCTACATATACAGTAAGAGGGCTAGGTTTGAAAACCTCTTCAGCTATGGTCTTACTACTTCAACTACCAATTCACAAATATGATGTGATCATACAATGTGCAGAGATCACAGATAAGTATTTCTGAAAGTTTTGAACTTCTTTTTGAGAGTCTAAGAAAAGTATTACATCCTGGGGCAGTTTTATACAGAGGTATGTCAGGCTTACCCCTCCAAAACAGAGAAGAACATTAAAAAAAAAAAAAAAGACCGAAAACTTGTGAAACACCTTCTAAAAATAAAACAAACAAAAAAACTCAAGGAAAGTCACCTTAAATATGAACCATACCCCAAAGCCCATTTCCAATTTTGTCAGTAAATTTAAAATTTTATAAATTTAAAATCACTGATCAAATTTGTAACAAGATGACTCAGTTAAAGGTTTGTAGAGTCAGACACTGAGCAACACTTATGGTGTGTATGTGTGTTTTTTTAACTGTTTCTAAGTACTCATGTTAATGTGGCTCAAAGTATAGTTTATGGCTTGTGACTAAACCTGGTGGTGACACTAATGAAGTAATGATATGATTAACCAGACATGCATTTCCCACGTGCAGCATTTCAGTGTAGTATACTAAGCCTATGAATCATTAAACAAAAGATGTTTAACTGCATGCAGTTAAGCAAGACTTCTATCAATCATTTACATATGCCCTTTCATGAAAATACTATTGGTGTGCCATGTTAATCTTTCTCTAGTGTTAAGAGTTCTTAAACTGGGATCCATGAATCAGCTTTAAAGGGTCGTGAACTTCCTACAGTTTACATAAAATCATGATATATGAATATATATTCTAGGAAGACCCCAAAAAGGTTCAGAACCATTCTAGTGGTTTTCTCACCAAGTACTAACACACACAAGAGATTACCATAACTTTCCTTACTTCTAATTTAAGTTACTTGTTCAAGCTGAATAATTATTAATGAGCTTTTCCTTCATCGCAGTATTTATTGAATTTCATTGTTAAGGGCCCTTTTACTGGTGTATATCCTATACTATGCTGTAAGCTACCTGAAGGCATGAGTATGCCTAGCACATATTCATATTATAATTTTCTATAATAAACAAATAGTGTCATTCACCTCAAACTGACAACTTTTCTCTTATGTAAAATAGTCATGAATAACTAAATGTTATAATGGGCAAAATGAAAATTTCCTAGCCTAAACAACTAGTTACATTAAAAAATAATACTTGGCTATACTATCTACCTCACTAGAGTTACAAGGATAAAGTGGGCCAGTGCTCATGAAGCATTTGCCCTAAAATAACAACATTTATATTCATTTTAAAGGCTTTTTCTCATGAACAAAAAAAATTCAAGAAAGTTAAGAGAAAATTTCTAGTATACAAATTGGGTGAATTTTTATTAATTGGGCCAAGGGTATAATTTATGTTCAAATATTCTTTGTGTAACCAGGGTATCCCATCCTCAGTAAAGCATATACAAAGCCATGTAGTTATGTTTTTTTCAAGCATGGAATACATATGCACAGGTTTACTGAAGAAAGTATATAAATGTTCCAAACACAAATGAAACATAATTGAATAGAAATAAAACTTTTTGGAAATTTAAAACTAAACAGTATCACAAAATAGACTCATTTTCAAATACTTATTTCAAAATAACATTAGTGTTTCCAATTATTAAGGCAAACCAAACACTTAACAACAACAACAAAAATCAAAACATACAATGTAAACCGAAGAAGAGTAGTGAAAATAATATAACTTAATAATTGGAATAAGTTTATTTATTTTAGTTATTATATATGATTCAAGGAAACAAGTTCAAGTGAAAATTGTGATTACAGCTCATGAAAGTATAAAGGACTTGAGACTAGTCAAGGGTAAATGTACTTTGTTGTAAAACAAAGTACCAGAGCATTTGTTCCTACATATGCTGATGAGAAACATCAAACAGTAAAACGCTATTACTTCTGTTTACATCTGTTCATTTAGAAGAGCCAAAAAGAAGAGTAAGAAAAAAATCTTAAACTTTAAGAAGAAAAACTTCTTTGACTATTATTCAGCAGAGACTTCTTTTTGAATTTTTGCCAGATCTTCAGGTCAAGGGTAACTGTTGGAATTTATAATGAGTCATCTGTTTTTAATTTTGCCCTTGAAACTACATCATGCATTTTGAAATAAATATCCTAACTTTATACTATAAGATAAATTTAAAACCGAAAGAAAACTTTTCACAGTTTCACATAAATAGGTAAGATTCATCTTTATGAAGATTCATCTTTTTCATTCTATTTAAAATTTTACTAGATTAAAAGGAAATGTTAACATTTTACCTTTATTAATGAAGTCACAACAATTGCTCCAGCATTTACCATAGGATTGTGTGGTTTATCTAAAAATATAAAAGCAAGAGCATTATTTCAAGTACCTGACACCATTTTCTGTGATGCACAGGTACTTCCATAAACGTATCTGTTTTCTTTATGTAAGCCATTGTTATAGTTCTTTGGGGGGCAGGAGTGGGGAAGGGAGAAGTTGGAGTGGAGGAATGCATTTAAGGCACTTACATACCAAACCAGTAATACACTTCTAGGAAGCTGCTATGATAATTATATAGGCAAAGATTCAAGTACAGAAAGGCAGTGAATAGTAGTATAATAAAGAGCACAATCAAATTTTCTAACTCTGCCATTTACTAGCTATTTGACCCCAGGCAAGTAATTGATTTTCACTGTGCCTCAATTTTTCCATCTGTAAGCTAGGAGTAATAACAGCACCAATACCTCAGTGAGTCATACTACTCGAATGAATTAAAAAAATGAAATGTTTAGAAAGTCCCTGGCACATCTTTAAGCAATTAAGTAATATTATTACTAAAAAATCAACGGGGAAAAAGCATGTCTAGTTTGGACTCAATTTTCCTTTTTAAAAATATTTTATTTTTGTGTTTATGTATATACATACACAGAAAAAGAAAACACAAACATTAAGAAGTGACATATACAGGGCATTTAAGTTGTATTTCCTATACTTTCTGTATTTCCTGATAATAAGGATGTATGCCTAATATAATTCAAAAACTTACTTAAAATTTAAGTTCATCCAGAATTGTACTGCTTCTAACTCTTAGGACAAACAGAATTTCAAGTCTCAACTGAGTATATTCTCATTCACAGCATAGCAAAATGCCAAACATAAAACTCTTAGGCCACTGAAAACATTTATTTGAAAGTATAATTCCTAATCTATTTGTGGTAGTACTTTACTTCTTATAGAACAAGTTTTTTACCTAAACTGACAAGTCTAACAGAATTCATTAAGTTATTATTGCTATATTACTAGTCTCCTTGAATTTTAAGCAAGTTATCTTCTGTGAGATGAGCTTATAGCTAAATAAGGAAGTTCTTCAAACTGTTAAAGAGTTATCATATGACCCAACAATTCCCAGGTATATAACCAAGAGAAATAAAAGCATAAGTGCACACAAAAACCTGTACACAAATGTTCACAGCAGTATTATCGATAATAGTTAAAAAGCAGAAAGCAACCCACAACCCAAAACTTCCTGCCAAATGTTAAGTGGATAAACCAAATGTGGTATTATTATTATCCATACAGTGGGATATCGTTCAGAAATAAAAAATGAAGTACTGAAACATGCCACAACATAAAAGCACCTTAAAAATATTACGCTAAATAGACCAGTCATAAAAGCAAATATGATTCCATTTACATGAAATGTCCAGAATAGGCAAATCCATAGAGACAGAAAGTAGATTTCTAGTTTCCTAGGGTAAAAGAGAAATAGGTACTGACTACCGGTGGGTACAGGGTACCTTCTGTGTGATAAAAGTGGCCTAAAATTGATTGTGGTCATGGCTGCACAACTCTATGAATATGCTAAATGCCATTAAGCTGTACATTTTGAGTGAGTGAATTATGTGGTAGGTGAATTGTATCTCAATAAAACTGCTAAAATTTTTTAATTAAAAAAATCTTCATTGACTTAGAGTACACCAGTTTCCCTCAATATAAGATAAACAATGTGACTTAGTATCTAGGTATGCCTTAAACACTGTACATTTTGAGTTACCCATGATAATGACTAATTTCAAAAGTTAAAATAAAACTTAGTACAGGTATACTATCTAACTAGTACAGTCAGGATTTCACCTATTCCAAATTATGCTAAGAGAAGTTTGCTTTCTTTGAGATCACACAAAATGAAAGCAACTGTTACCACAGAAAAATATCACATGGCAAATGGGGAGCCAAGAAACAAAAATTTTCCAATATTATCCATCTGAAAGAAAAACCACACGCAGACAGAAGCAAACTATGGACATCAGGCTGTGCTAAATTAGTTTACACTTGTACTTGCGTATATTCATGTATCTGTCTTTTCTTCTTCTCTCTTTTTTCCTGACATTATTAGGTTTAGACTTCAGGGCCCTAGGAGGTAATGTGTATATTCCAAATGGTACCACATGTATGGGGACATTTACTTTTTCTAAATAATAAATATTCTGCAAATACTACATAAGCTACATTCAAGAAGATCTTCCAAGAACACTAAAGCATTTCACATCATGACAGCACAATTTTAAAATGTAAGCAACTGCTTGCTCACTCTGCTATGACTCAAAAGCCAGACATCTGAACACTTGGAAATAAACCAGAGATGTTAAAAACTCTAGCATTACTGCAGTACAAAACTTGAGCCTAAAAGTGAAATCTACTTGTCTCCTGCTCTGCTGTAGTTACAAGGAAGAATTGAAGGGTTCCATTTAGAATTTATAATTTAAAAATATTTATGACAGCAGAAACAACACTTAAGCTATTAATAAAGGCTATATCTGAAGTAATGACATACATTAACCTAGTATAATGATAAAATGGACATGGGTGACATCTGAAATTTATAAGCATTTTTAAACTAGAATGCATAAAACTGAACAATTTTTTAAATATTTATTCTCTCTAAGAAAATAAAACAAGTGGAAAGTTCTTTCATATTATACTGGAAAAAGCTTTTCTAATTTCTAAGCATATGAACCTTTCAAAGATGTGGTTCATGACTGGGGCTAAGTCAAAGTCTGCTAATGCATATACTAAAGAACTACAAAGTATTAATGCTCAATTTAACAGATATTTATATTTTAGGTATTAAAGTGGAATTTTACATCACCATATAAAAATTAATATGTTGTTTAATCCTGCAGTGTACCCCCTTACCCAACCACCCAAACTGTTCTTCCTAATACAAGTCAGTCCTGTCTTCTCATGTAAATTAATTCAACTCAACTTCTTTTTTGAATCCTCTACACATATAAACCAACACATACATTTTGGCTTCTGTCAATTACACAGATAATATAATATATAAGATATATACATATTAGCAGTAAGATAATATAATTAGTATGCAGCACTTGAGCTTGCCTTCTTTTTCCATGTATTAGATGTAGGTAAATTGTTTTCTGTATCCTTTAATATTAGCTAGATAAGACACTTAAGAACCAAAGGCCCATGTTAACAATACAGGGGAAGAAGGCTAAAAAATATTTAATTTTTTTAAGGTGGAAAAGACTTAATGAGGATATCCAAAATTGACATCTCCATCAAGTAACTTATTTCCTTATTTATAATGATAGAAAGTATTAGCCAACTCCCCACCATAGGGCTAAAACTTTTTCATGCTGTAAAGCATTTTTAAACTGATAATAAAAGAGTAACTACTATAATTTCTTTATCTATTTATTATATTCATATTAATGGTAATTTATCATTACAATATTCTAAAGCCTTGATTTATATAAAAATTACCTGGAAAAAGAAATACCTCATTTTCATGTGTAAATCTAAGTAGTTTTTTTTTTAAGAAAATCAAAAACATTCATACTTTTT